GCCTCGTACCCCGCCCGCACCCTGCCGAGCCCCACCCCTCCTCCAGCCCTCGCCCCGCCCACACCTAGGGCCCCGCCCCCCCACGTGTCTACGCTGAGCCCCCTCCTCCAGCCCAGTCCCGCCTCCAGCTCTCACACACAGGCCTCTCCTCCAGCCCCAGCCAGGCCCCCTCCCCATTACCCCTCCGCCCAGCCTGGGCCCCTCCCCATTACCCCTCCGCCCAGCCTGGGTCCCCTCTCTCTAGGCCCCCAGCTCCCAAGCACAGCTGTCTCCCAGAGCCCCCCCCCAGGCCCTGCCCTCACCCCAGCAAAGATCCTCCTCTTGAGCCCATCCAGGTGGGTGACGCGCCCCTCGGGGTCCAGGTGCTGCCCCCAGTCCTGCTCCGTCACCGGGGCCTCCCGGCACACGGCCGGCCGCGGCCCCAGCTGCACCTGCTGTGGGCGGGAGGGGGTCACGGGGCGGGCGGGAAAGGCACCCCCAGCGCACACTATTCCCACCCCCCTCAAGCCCAGCTCCACCTCCTTCACCCACAGCCCGTTCCCCCCACTAGGCCAGCCCTGCCCCCCACACCCCGCTCCCCCCACTAGGCCTGTTCCACCCCCTGCCACTCACGCTCCACCCTTACTGTGTCACCAGCTCCGCCTCCTTCACCCACACCCCACCTGCATGGTCAGCTCCGCCCCCTGCCACCTATGCCCCGCCCCTCATAGGCCAGCCCCGCCCTCCGCCACCCTCCACCCACCCCCGTGAGGTCAGCTCCGCCCCCTGCCACCTATGCCCCGCCCCTCATAGGCTAGCCGCGCCCTCTGCCACCCACCACCCACACCCGTGAGGCCAGCTTCGCCCCCTGCCACCCAAACCCCGCCTGCATGGCTGGCTCCACCCCCTTAACCAGCCACGCCCTATACGTGTGAGGGAGCCGACTGGCTGTTGCTCCACTTGCACCACACACAGAAACGCGATTGGCTGGTGCCTCTGGGGTGCGCCCGGATTGGCCGGGGACACTCACGCAGGTGATGACCTCGAAGCCTGGCTCATCCTCCAGGCTAGCGGCGGCGGCGGCGCCCGGGGGCCGCAGGGGGGCGCCAGCCTCATGGTGCAGGGCCCCGCGGAAAAAGCTGGTGACTTTGGAGAAGCCCCCGAAAGTGGCCGTGTAGGGGTCCTGCAGGAAACGCTGGGGGGGGAGAGAGTCACTCTTGGATGGGAACCCCCAGAGCCAGGAGAGAACCCAGGAGTCCTGGCTCCCAGGCCCCCCTCTTCCCAGAGCCAGGATGTGACGGAGTAGGGAGCATTAACCTGGGAATGTTGCGGGGGAGTTTCACTCGTTTACTGTCGGGACCGATACTAGCTGGGGATGGAGGGAGTTTCCGTTTGGGGCTGGCTGGGGAAATGTGGGGAGGCCCAGAACCGGGGTCTGGGCTCCCCACCCCCCAAGAGGGACCAGACTGAGGGGTCCTGGTCTCTGTACCCACAAGCTCTGGTTTGGGCTGTTCCTGTCGGCTAATAAACCGTCTGTGTTACCGGTCGGTGGAGAGTCCCGGTGCATCGCAGGAAGTGGGGGGTGCGGGGCTCCGACTCCCCCACACTCCGTGACACAGGGATGGTACCTCATCCTCGTTCCCAGCCCCCCGCACCTCTACATCCTTCCCCCGTGTCATGAGTGGGGTGGGGCCCGTGGCTGAGCCAGGCCGTGAGGGGGCTGGGGAACTCACTGACACCAGGTTGGAGGAGTTCTCATCGAACAGCTGCAGCTGGTCGAAGGCGTGTGACAGCGCGTACGAGTCGTGGCTGTAGACCAGGTAAAGCCGGGAGTCCTTGGGGGAGCTGCCGGGGGGAGGCAGCATCAGCATCCTCCGTTACCCCAGCATTGGCACGTGCCCCCCCCGCCAACTGTCCCCTGCCCTCTGGGCCCACCTCACCCAGTGAGCCCCGTGCCAGCTCTTCCTGCCTGGGGACCCCCCAGCCTCATGCCGCTGGCTCCCCCACCTGGGCCCCCCAATCTGGACCCAGGGCACTCCCCACTCCCCCACCCCTGCTGCGAGCTGCCCCCAGCAGTGCCCCAGTTCACAAGCTTCTCCCCCGCCCCCGCTCACATGGCCAGGATGAGGTACTTGCAGAGCGCCCGCAGCAGGGCCTTGCTGCCGCCGCGGTGGAAGTGGAGGGCGGGCAGGGACCCGCTCTCCCGGCTGATGAAGATGAGGTAGGACCAGCCCAGCCCCGGCCGGCCCCGGCGGATGGATTGCAGCTCGGAGAGGCTGAGCGTGAAGGCCCACTGTGCCCGGGGGCCGGGCGGGGGCACGGAGCCTGTGGGGCAGAGCGATGGGGGGGGGTTAGGGCACCCGGCCTGCCCCCCAGCCCTGCCCCTCCATGACCCACCTGCTGGGCCCCCCCACACTAACACCCCCCACCGCCTCCCCACCCCCCAGCCACACACCCCAGGGCTGCCCCGCCAATACCCCGACCTCCAACCCTCTCGGGCCCCTGGTGCACCCCGAGATCCCACGAGCCAGGCTTCACCCCACCCCCCTCCCACCCCCAATCCTGCCCCACCGTCCCCACAGCCGTTACCCGGGGGCTCCTCCTGCGGCCGGGGCCTCACGGTGCTGATCACGGCCCAGTCGGGCTCGTAGCCCGGATCGAAGGGCTCCTCCTCGGCCGCGCCCGGGGGCTCCTGCAGGGCAAACGGGGGGTTAGAGGGGAGGGGGGCACTGGAGGGGTTCCGGGGGGGGGGGGAAGGCGCTCACCTTTTTGGAGAAAACAATCTGGGCAGCATCACCACCTTCCTCCAGGGGCGTCCACTGCAGCAGGTGGTCTGAGCCCTGCGGGCAGGGGGTGCAGTCAGAGCTCTGCCGGTGCCCCTCACTCCCGACCCGCAGCCCCCTGCCAGCCCAGCCCCACGGTGCCCCTCACTCCCGACCCGCAGCCCCCCTGGTACCTTCTCGAGGATGCGGATGACCCCTGGGATGAGCGAGTCCTGATCCGGGTGGCGCTTGGCGCTGGTGTGCAGGAAAACCCCGTCCTTCTCGAAAGCCACCTGGTGTGTGTGTGTGTGGGGGGTGTCAGCCAGAGCAGGTAC